TATGTTGATAGTTATACAAGCTGAATTAGAGGAATTCATTTTTCTACCCTCTTTACTTTTATAAACATCTCCATGATAAAAAATGCCAACAATCCTGAAACAGCTCATCACTGCCCTTAGGGATATAAAGTTCAAATTCTTTCTTATCAAGGTTTGCCAAAAAGCCTTTCATTTTCTGCTCCCTGCTCAGTTCTCCAGCTCATCTTTCACTACCACCTCTTTCACAGTCTAAAGCTCCAGGACTGATAAGCTGCTTACTCCTGTTTCCTGAAAACAAAACAAATAAACAAAAAATACCTTTTCCCTTTGTCTCAAGCACCTGCCCCTCTGCTCCCATGCTACTCTATACCCACTCAGGTCACACAGCAAATCTGTTTCTTGTAGAAAACCTTTCCTAATCCTCCAAGACTGTGTCCCGTAAATCACCCATGAGCCCCTACCCTCCTAAAAACCCAGTGCTTTCCCCATCACAGCTCCTACTTGCTATACCCCACCCCCTCAGCAGATGCTAGGTATCAGGACAGCATGGATGACTTTCATCTTATTTGCCATTTTAACTTCAATTCCTAGCTAAATGCCTTGCACATGGTAGGCACTCAATAAATACTGGCTAGGGGCTGGCATTGGGGAGAAGCAGTAAAGCCAGTGCCTGCAATGCCGGCATCCCATATGGGCACTGGTTCATATACCAGGTGCTCCTCTTCCAAATCAGCTCCCTGCTAATGGCCCAGGAAAAGCAGTAAAAGATGGCCCAAGTGTTTGGACCCCTGCACCCATGTGGGAAACCTAGATGAAACTCCTGGCTTCAGCCCTGGCCATTTAGGAGTTAACCAGCAGATGGAAGATATCTCTCTCTCTCTTTCTCTTTAATTCTCTCTCAGTCTCTCCCTCTTTCTCTGTAACTCATCCAAATAAATAAATAAATCTTTTAAAAAGTGGATAAATTAACAAAGGGCACAAACTCCACTAACCCCTTCTAATCTTCTAACCTCGTCTGTATCTATACATCCCTATTTTTCCATCCTTCCTCATCTTCCTTGATGATCATGTTTCACATGCACTGTTGGTTGCTCACATAATGTTCCCAAATTTATAGCCTTAGCCCTTCCTAGACATCTCATCTAATTTTTAAAAAGTCAACTAAGAAATTCTGTGCAGTAATCCAATAGATCTTTATCCCCAGGGGGCTGGCACTGTGGCACAGTGGGTTAAGCGAAAGTCTGCAGTGCCAGCATCCCATATGGATGCCAGTTCAATTCTCAACTGCTCCACTTCTAATCCTGCTACCTGCTAATGTACCTAGGAGAGTGGCAAAAGATGGCCCAAGAGCTTGGGTCCTGGCACTCAAATGGGAGACCCAGATAAAGTTCCTGGCTTTGGCCTGGCCCAGCCCTGGCCATTATGGCCATTTGGGGAGTGAACCAGCAGATGGAAGATCAATGGATCTCTCTGTCTCTCTGCCTCTCCCCCTCTCTGTCTTTCAGATAAATAAATGAATCTTTTAAAAAAAAAATCTATCCCCAGGCCTGATTTATGACTCCAAATATCTTCTGGACTCAATCTCCTATTATCTCCCACATACACCTTTATACTAGAGCTGCTCAGAAACTCTCAGTACCCCTGACACACAGGTAATTAGTGCATGTCCTTTCACACGGCCTGAAATGCCCTTCTTCTCTTCTACCTTTACCCTGTAAGCCTCAGCTCAAATATCTTTCTGCCATTTTCCAGGTAGTGTTCCCACAGCACTCTATTCTTATTTCTATTGTGGGATTTGTGATATTTTTAAAATATTAAGTTTCAGTGTCTTCCCTGCTGCATCACAAGTTTCTACATGGAGGAATATGCTCTCTTTCAGGGTTGTACTCCTAGCATAAACAATGTAATGCCTATTACAAAGTAGGCCCTAATAAATGCTTGCTAAGTGAATTACAGTATATTACATTTCTAATAATTAAGCGATTGAGCCTAATCTACTTTCCTCAAAGTGGTCATCAGAAACTCTTTTTCAAAAACTAAAGATTCATAGATTATGAAAATAAAAGAAAATTATGAAACAAAAGAATACAGTACAACAATCATTCTATTCCCAGAGGTCAAGTTTGGTGAAGATCCAAGCTGAGGTGAAGTTTGGGTGAATCTATCCAGTTTACAGTAATCCCAGCAAGCTTAATCCAATTTTGAGATTATCTCAACATCAATTCTCAGTATAGGCCAACTCTAAAGCAAGGCCAATCTGGGTTTTCATGGCTACCCTCAAAAAGACCTATAATCACAGAGCCAGCCTTTAGCCCACATCATTTTAGACACAAAGAATAAAATGACTTGCTATTTACTGCCCTGCTTAAGCGACTGAACAACTAATTCTTCATATATGTAGTTCCAAGCTATCAGCCACATTCAAATCATCAATATATATTCTCCAATCCTTCAGAATCCTGATGTACTAAAGATGTTCAAGTATACAGAGTTCATTACCAGCATTCAATGTGTCTTCTATTTTCCCTTGAAGAGGATACCCAGCCTCCCCACCCCCACCCCCATTTACTAAACTTCCTATAATTTGGGATTGGGTATCACTTTATTTTCACAAAACAGTACAGAATTTCTCTGTTGTTTCTCTGCAAGAAAACAGTTTAACACGAAAGTATCGGCGGAGGGGTGGGGGTGGGGGACTTCTAAACAGCCATTAGTGATCTCCAAATCATAATGCTGAAGATCAGAAAGGAGTTTAAGTATTAAAGAAGAAAAAAAAGAAGGGTATTAAAAATCTGTATGTAGCCAGTAAGGCAGGAGATATTTGTCCAAGTATTCAAAAACTAAAAACGTAAGGAGGCAGAAAAAGGATACACTAAAGTAAGAACAGGAAAAAGGAAAATTCTGTCTGGGCCAGAAGCTCCCAAGAACCCCAGATTAGGGCCTCTAGTGACCCTCGATTGAGACCCACACAAATTTTGCATTTGCAGAGTCACTTAATTCCATGGTGCCACAGAAGATAGAAAGCTAAGTGGAAAAATGAGCTGTGCTAAGAAAGCTGTACACCAAGTTTCTGCAGGGGCGGTGCTAATGAGAAGCAAACCATTTCCTGCCATGGAGCTCCAGCTGAGCTCAGTAGTAGAGGACCCAGAAACCCAAGAAGAAAGACCCAGGGAGAAGAATAGGTTGAAGACAAGAGGATTGACTGGGCTGGCGCCGCGGCTCACTAGGCTACTCCTCCGCCTAGCGGCGCCGGCACCCCAAGTTCTAGTCCCGGTCGGGGCGCCAGATTCTGTCCCGGTTGCCCCTCTTCCAGGCCAGCTCTCTGCTGTGGCCAGGGAGTGCAGTCAAGGATGGCCCAAGTGCTTGGGCCCTGCACCCCATGGGAGACCAGGAGAAGCACCTGGCTCCTGCCATCGGATCAGCGCAGTGCGCCAGCCGCAGCGTGCCGGCCGCGGCGGCCATTGGAGGGTGAACCAACGGCAAAGGAAGACCTTTCTCTCTGTCTCTCTCTCTCTCTCTCTCTCAGTGTCCACTCTGCCTGTCAAAAAAAAAAAAAAAAGATTCACTAATGTTTGGACTTTTTCCCTTTAAAAATTATGTAGAGAAAGGAAGTGGATGGTTGAAGGACAGCAAAATTAATACTGTTCCTTTTGCAAGCTTTGCCTTTTGTAATTCAGAGCTTGCACTTTCCTCCTCTGCCTAGTGGAAGTGAAGTTTAGTGGAAAAAGAAAGCCAAGAATTCAGCGTCCTGATTCCACTATTTACTCCTGCTATGTGATTTTGAGCAAATTATTTAAAAGCCTGCAGCCTCAGACTCCGAAACTGTGAAATGGGAATATTAAATAGGGATAATGAACACCGACCTTGCAGAGTTACTGAGAGTAAAAGGAAGAGATCACTAGAATGGAATAAAAACTCAAGAACAGAGAACAGTGAGTATCTTCATTCCTGTTGATTCCTGCTGGCATGGAAACGCACATGGCAGGAGCTCAATGTTTTTTAAATGAGCGAATAAGTATGTGTTCTCATTTCATCAACATTAACCCTTCTTCCATAATCACGTTTTTCCTTTGCCTTTTATTATCTCCTAAAGCTCTCAAGACATTCTATTTTGTTCTTTTAAGTGGCTTTCTCCCTCTCATTGACTATTATTAACTACACACCATTCAAAGAAGTACCTTTGGAAGTCATTTCTCTCTAATTCCACCCACATTCCATTTCTAATGCAGCGGGGGCAGAGGGGATAGTCAGACAAGATTCGCAGTCATTCAGCCACTTGCCCATGGCCACTGACTCGTGTTAACGACATGAAGCCTGAAGCCAGACCACCCCAGAATGTAACTTTCAGGGGCCACCGCACCGCCCCTTTTCTCTCCCTGGGCTAACAAGAGACTCGGGTGTAGGACATGCTCGGCTCTCAAAAGTTAGGCAGTCGGTTACGTTCGCCTCCCCCTCGGTACAGGGGTGTGTCCCTTGCAGGAGACACTCAACCTGGACAGAGAGGAAGGATTTCGGATCCCTTGGTGTGGGTCGAGCATGACCTTTAGACCTGGCCAGTCTCGTCTGGCCACTGCTCTGAGGAAACAGGAGCTCTTCACTCCCGGGAGGGAAGCTAAGGGGTGCGGCCGTTCACAGAGCCTGAGGGGACAGTGTAAAGTCCATGACAACGCGAGGACACAGAACAGCCCGCACGACCGGAACCTTTCAGCCACGACCACGACCGCCCCTTCTATTCACAACTGCGCCGGACCCCACCACAGCCTAACACCTGACCCCCCAAAATAACGCGGCTCACCCCCCACCCCATAAATCAGACAGCCAGTGCCTGCTGACTGGTTGTGCCCGCATCTCCTTCACCCTCATTGGCTGTCTGGGACGCAAAGCCCTCCCCGACGAGGGACCCACCCGTTCGGCGGCACCCCCAGCCCAGCCACCTCAGCCCGGCTATCCGAGACCCCGGCCCCCGCCTCCATCCAGGGAGCGCGCGCCGGAGGCGCTCGGAGCTTCACCCGAGGACTCACCGTGTAGTAGGAAAGCAGTCCAGCGTTGTAGTCCAGCACGAACCAACGGTACTGCCAGCCCTTCATCACGTTAGTCCATTTGCTCAGCGGCCCTTCCACGATGGACGCCATCTTGGGAGCCGCCAATGACAACAAACGGCCTGACGTCACTCGCCTATATGGCTTTCAGCATGCGGGGGGCGGGGCCTCCACGGGCTGGGGCGGGACAGGGGCGGAGTCTGCAGCGGCCTCTCCGTGTGGATTCCTCGAGCCACGCCCCCTGCGATCGCCTTCGAACCCCTGCCTTTTGGTGCCTGTTGTGTGTAGGACAATATGCCAGGGATACGAAAATGCAGACACATAAATAATTTTATAAGCAATGCTGAAAAGACTTCACATCTGATATTCATTTGTGCATTAATCCCACGAATTCAGTCGTTTAACAAATATTTGTTGTATGCTAAGCACTCTTCTAGGCTTTGGGGTAGAGCGGAGCCTTCTTGATGGGTAACAGGCAAGGGCATAGTAAGTTATATGCTAAAAAATGGCATGTGCTATGGAGAAAAATTAAGCAAAGAAAGAGAGAGTTAAGGATGCTATTTTAAATGCCTAAACTGGGAAAACCGGAATAAATTAACTTTTGTGTTGTTGTTGGTTGGTTGTTTTTTTTTTTAATTTATCTTCATGCATTTCATAAATACAGCTTTAGGAGCATAGTAATTCTTCCCACCGTACCCGCCCTCCCACCCACACTCCCACTCCTCTTCTTCCCTCTCCTGTTCCCAGTCTTGTTTTTTACTAAGATCTATTTTCATTTAACTTTTTAATACACAGAATATTAACTCTATTCTAGGTAAAGAGTTCAACACTTTGTATGAAGAAGAAAAAGAAAGAGAGAAAGAAAAAAAAGTTTCTCCAAGAGAAAGTAATTTTTGAAGAAAGACCAGGAAAAAGTGAAAGAGGGAGACTGGAAAAAAGTCTTCCCAGGGGAAGGAATAGCAAGGGTGAGGAGTGAGTGAGTCGGCAGTAAGGAAGAGCAGCAAGGAGGTCATGCGAGTGGCACAGTGAGCTGGGGAGAATGCAGGCGACAAAGTCACTTACCGCCTGCAAGGGCAGTTTCAGTATTTATTAGCCACCTACAGTAGCCAGGCGTTCATAGTGCAAGCCCCTGGGAATACAGCAGTGAACAAGCCAGATAGGTACATTGCAATCTAAGAGCTTACATTCTATGATGAAAGCAAAAAACATTAAACAAGTAAGCAAGAAAAGTATGCAATACCAATAAACCCTTTGCAGAGGATTTACTAAGGTGACCGACCCAACAGAATAGAAAGCCAGGGCGAATGGTCAGTGCAGGCTTCTCAGAAAGTGGCATTTAAGCTGAAACTGAGATGTGGAGGATGAGAAAGTGCCAATCATGCAAATATCAAGGGGAAAGAGCTAAAAAGCAAGCTGGTGAATGGAGGCATTAGCTAAAAGTGGAAGCGAGGTCGAGGAGGTCTTTT